TTCTATGTATGTAATTTTGACTACTCTGGGAACATCATATAAGCAGAATCATATGGTATTTGTCCTTTTGTAACTGGCTTATTTCACTTAGCATAATCATGGTCACCCGTGTAGAATGTTTCAGAATTCATCCTTTTTAAGGCTGAATTACATTCCATTGTATGTATATACCATGTTTTGTTTATACATTCATCTGCTGAGAGATACTTGGAGATATCCACCTGAAATTAAAATATTTTGTTTTTGTTGCTGCTGCTGAAAATACATGACTTTTAAAGTCTTTTTTTTTTTCCACAAATTTTAAGTGGTTTTTGCTGTCACATTTGAAAGCTATTGGTTTATAATTGTTATAACCAGCTGCTTTATTAAACTCATTGTCATCAATTCTAATAGTTTTTCAGTGCTTGTATTAGATTTTATAATGATACAACCATATAGGTGGCAGATGTTGAAAATTTGGTTTTCTCCTTTCCCATACATTTCATTTACTTTCACCAAATCAGTCAGCATTTTCAGAGTAATGTTAAGTGATAACAGTGAGTGGTCATTCTTGTTTTATTCCTGATTCAGAATGTCTTCACTAACATATGATGTGTATTGATTTTAGTTATATATTCTTTAGCATGTTAAAGAAGTATTTTTATTCTTACTATTTTAGAAAAGATGGGCATTTGAGGTGAACTACAAATCTGGAACAAATGTGTGTATATGCTTTTTTAATGCTTTTTTGAGACGGAGTTTCACTCTTGTTACCCAGGCTGGAGTGTAATGGCGCGATCTCGGCTCACCACAACCTCCGCCTCCTGGGTTCAGGCAATTCTCCTGCCTCAACCTCCTCAGTAGCTGGAATTACAGCCATGTGCCACCATGCCCAGCTAATGTTTTGTATTTTTAGTAGAGACGGGGTTTCACCATGCTGACCAGGATGGTCTCGATCTCCTGACCTCGTGATCCACCCACCTCGGCCTCCCAAAGTGCTGGGATTACAGGCTTGAGCCACCACGCCCAGCCAATATAATGCGTTTTTTACTGTTACTGGGAGTTGGGTCAGACTTCACAGGTTGAGGGCACAATCCTCCACAAGACTCTTCTCACTTCAGATACCAGCCTCAAGTTTGGGGGTCCCCACTGTTACTCTCATTTCTGACCAGGTAGCTACAGTTTTGGGAATCTCCCACGTACTCCCTTAAGTTTGATGATTGGATGAAATGACTCTCAGAACTCCAGAAGGTGCTAAACTTACAATTAGAGTTTCATTATAGCAACAGGATATAAATGAGAAGAGAGATATAAGGGAGTGTTTGGGATGGTTCCAAACAGGATGCTTCTGTTGTCCTCAGGTAGCAATATGCAGAATATTGCCATCCAGGGAAGTTCCCTGAGGCTTTGGTATGTAGAGTTTTTATTGAGACTTTATTATTTAGGCCTGATTGATGGAATCATTGACATGTGGTTGAATGTAGCCTCTATCCCCCTTCACTCCTCAGAGGTCTCCTAATGTGGCTCAAAGACCCAAACCTTTAATCACATGGTTGGTCTTTTTGGGGTGACCAGGAGCCATCCTAGGTACCTCGTTAGCATAAACTATCAATTCTGGCACAAGGGGCCCACAGTGAATAGCAAAGGTACTTCTGTCATTTAGGAAATTCAAGGGTTTATAGGTTACCTCCCAGGAACTGGGATCAAACGCCAACCAAATTCTTTTTTTTTTTTTAACTTTTTAATTTTTGTGGATATATAGTAGGTATATATATTTTTAAGGTACATGAGATACTTTGATACAGGCATGCAATGCATAATAATCACATCATGGCAAATAGGGTATTCATCTTCTCAAACATTTATCCTTTGTGTTACAAATAATCCAGTTATACTCTTTTAGTTATTTTTAAATACACAAATTATTGACTGTATAGTCAATAACATAGGATTGACTATAGTCATCCTGTTGTGCAATCAAATACTAGGTATTTTTCATTCTGTCCCATGAATCATCCCCATCCCCCACTCCACCCCCACTACCCTTCTCAGCCTCAGGTAACCATCCTTCTACTCTCTGGCTCCTAGAGTTCACTTAATTTTTAGCTCCCCCAAATAAGTGAGAACATGTGAAGTTTGTCTTTCTGTGATTGGTTTATATCACTTAACATAAAATCCTCTAGTTCCATTCATGTTGTTGCAAATGACAGAATCTTATTTTTATGGCTGACTAGTACTCCATTGTGTATATATACCACATTTTCTTTATCCATTCATCTGTTGATGGACACTTAGGTTGCTTCCAAATCTTGGCTATTGTGAACACTGCTGCAACAAATGTGGGAGTGCAGATAACACTGATTTCCTTTCTTTCTTTTGTTCTTTTTTGTTTGTTTTGAGATGGAGTTTCTTTTTGTCACCCAGGGACTGGACTGCAGTGGCATAATCTCGGCTCACTGCAACCTCCGTCTCCTGAGTTCAAGTGATTCTCTTGCCTCAGCCTCCTGAGTAGCTGGGATTACAGGTGCCTGCCACCATGTCTGGCAAATTTTTGTATTTTTAGTAGAGATGGGGTTTCACCATGTTGCCCAGGCTGGTCTTGAACTCCGGACCTCAAGTGATCTGCCCACTTTGGCCTCCCAAAATGCCGAGATTACAGGCATGAGCCACAGTGCCTGACCACCGTTTTTCTTTCTTTTGGGCATATACCCAGCAGTGGGATTGCTGGATCATATGGTAGTTCTATTTTTATTTGAGGAACCTCCAAACTGGTCTTCATAGTGATTGTACTGCTTTACATTCCCACCAACAGTGTACAAGGGTTCCCTTTTCTCTATATCCTTTCCAGCATTTGTTATCGCCTGTCTTTTGGATAAAAGCCATTTTAACTGAGGTGAGATGATATCTTATTGTGGCTTTGATTTGCATTTCTGTTATCAATGATATGAGCACCTTTTATTACACCTGTTTGCCATTTATATGTTTTCTTTTTTTTTTTTTTTTTGAGACGGAGTTTCACTCATGTTACCCAGGCTGGAGTGCAATGGCGCGATCTCGGCTCACCGCAACCTCCGCCTCCTGGGTTCAGGCAGTTCTCCTGCCTCAGCCTCCTGAGTAGCTGGGATTACAGGCACGCACCACCATGCCCAGCTAATTTTTTTTTGTATTTTTAGTAGAGACGGGGTTTCACCATGTTGACCAGGATGGTCTTGATCTCTTGACCTTGTGATCCACCCACTTCGGCCTCCCAAAGTGCCGGGATTACAGGCTGGAGCCACTGCGCCTGGCCATATGTTTTCTTTTGAGAAATGTCTGTTCAGATCTTTTGCCCATTTAAAAATCAGATTAGTAGATTATTTTTTATAGAGTTGTTTGAGCTCCTTATATATTCTGGTTATTAATCCCTTGTCAGATGGATAATTTGCACTTACTTTCTCTCATTCTGTGAGTTGTCTCTTCTCTTGGTTGATTGTTTCCTTTGCTGTGTAGAACCTCCCTCCAGCCCTGCCTCCCGAGACAGAGTCTCATTCTGTCGCCCAGGCTGGAGTGCAGTGATGTGATCTTGGCTTAACTTGATGTGATCCCATTTGTCCATTTTTGTTTCACCAACCCCCAATTTTTTTTTTTTTTTTTTTGAGACAAGTTCTCACTCTGTTGCCCAGTCTGGAGTGCAGTGGTGCGATCTTGGCTCACTACAGCCTTGACTACCTGGGCTCAAATGATCCTCCCACATCAGCCTGCCCAGTAGGCTGTGAGGGGGACCACAGGCATGTGCCACCATGTTCAGCTAATTTTTTTGGAGTTTTTGTAGAGATGAAGTTTTGCCATGTTGCCCAGGCTGATCTTGAACTTCTGGGCTCAAGTGATCCACCCACCAGGCCTCTCAAAGTGCTGAGATTACAGATGTGAGCCACCATGCCCAGCCACCAGCCAAATTCTTTATTCATAACTGTCAATTGAGATGATTTGTATGGATGTGATCAAAATTACATTGTGTGAAATTATTACATTAACTCAGTTGCGTCAACAAATACTGAAGCCTATTGTGTCTGTGCCAAGTAGTCTTCTAGATGCTAAGGTAAATTTTCTACTTTTAAATGTCAAATTCACTTTGATAGTATTTCAGTCATTTATCCAGCATATATTGAGTGCCTATTCTGTGCTCCAGGTACTGGTTTTAGACATAACAGTGAACAACTCAGACAAAACTCCCTATCTTCATGGTGTTTACTTTTAGTGGTAACTTTATATTCACATTCTCAAGTCAAAAAAGTCTATAGTATATTGTTTGGGTACTTTTATTATTGTGTTTGAGCATTGGGATTTTATTAGGGCATGAAAGAGGTAACTTTTTCTCCACACAGGAATAGTTTGTATAGAGTAAGAATTACTATTTATGTGAAAATCTGAAATATGTTAAAATATGGAAATAATCTTTGATATTTTTCCATTTCTTTCATTTACTTTAAACATTTTATATATATGCTTTAATTTGCATTTCATACGTGTGTGTGTGTGTGTGTGTGTGTGTGTGTGTGTATATATATATACACACGCACACGTATATGTATTTCCTCTTTGTTATATATGAAATGAAAAGGCAATATAGCATAGTAATTTTAGAGTGAGGACTCAGGAGCCTGACTACCTAGGTTGAGTTCCCATCTTTTTTCTTTGCTTTCTGTGTAGCTTTGGAAAATATTCTTCCTTTGAGTAACACAACACTTCAGGATGTGTGTTATATACAGCATCTTGTTGTTTTGCAGTGGAAATCCTTTTGAAGTATCTAAATTATCATGCTGCCAGAAAGCGAAATCCTTTTAACACAGTATTCTTCACTTGCCGAGGGATATAGGGCTTCCAGTTTTCTCTTGGCTGATATGCTGCTGGATGAGTATTATAGGAAATTATTTACTTCTGTACTTTTTTAAATGATGGATTTTTAAAGAAACAGTTTGTATAGTTTTTAGAATTAATTTTAAAGATGAACTCTAATGTTTGACATCTTAAAACCTCTTCAGTTATAGCAATTGTCTTATATTTGATGATGCCTATTGTGAATGTAAGTGAAGTACTTGGACCCTTGTGCCTTATGCTACTCATGGGAACTGTCCACTGTCAAATTGTGTCTACTCAGTTAACGAGACCATCAGGAAACAATGGAAATCGGAGAAGAAGGTAAGATGAGAAAGTACACTGTAGTTGTGTATTGTCTGAGAGAGGTATTGTAGAGATTTATAAAACCTTTGATTCATTTTAAATCTCCATCTTTTGTGTATTTTTAAATTATTTTTTGGCTTGGAAAATGAATGCATTACTTTGCAGTTTTCTCCTTGATGCTGAGAAACGTTATTACAAACTTTTAGTTTCAGTTTGGGATTTTGTCATTCAGTATGGTTGTTTAAAAGGAAAATTTCTATACTTTATTATTCTTCATTAAAATTTATCTTATAGATTGGCTTTGAAAAAACATTTTCTTTGAGATTCAGTCTTAATCAAAATTTGGTGAAAATTCACTGTAAACAAAGATCTTGGTACATTTGGTTAGTGCTACTAAAATTTTACCTTTTTTCAAAAGTGTGTAATAAGAATTGATTTCTAAGTGGTCTAAACTCTTTTTTTTGAGTTGGAGTCTCATTCTGTCACCCAGGGACTGGAGTGCAGTGGCATGATCTTGGCTTACTGCAACCTCTGCCTCCTGAGTTCAAGTGATTCTCCTGCCTCAGCCTCCCAAGTAGCTGGGATTACAGGCACCCGCCACCATGCCCAGCTAATTTTTTTGTATTTTTAGTAGAGACGGGGTTTCACTATGTTGGACAGGTTGGTCTCAAACTCCTGACCTCAAGTGACCTGCCCACCTTCGCCTCCCAAAGTGCTGGGATTACAGGCGTGAACCACTGTACCTGGCCTTTTTTTTTTTTTTTTTTTTTTTATGAGATGGAGGTTTGCCCAGGCTGAAGTGCAGTGGCACAATCTTGGCTCACTGCAACCTCTACCACCTCTTGTGTTCAAGCGATTCTCCTGCCTCAGCCTCCCAAGTAGCTGGGCTTACAGGTGTATGTCACCATGCCCGGCTAATTTTTTTTTTTGTATTTAGTAGAGACAGGGTTTCATCATGTTGGTCAGGGTGGTCTGGAACTCCTGACCTCAGGTGATCCACCTGCCTCGGCCTCCCAAAGTGTTGGGATTACAGGTGTGAGCCACTGCACCTGGCTGTCTAAACTTTTAATAAGGATTGATTTGGTTTTTCTTTACATATTGAATTCATGTTATGTTTTAATTGATTATATGATATATATGAGTTTTGGAACTGTTGAAGATTTCTTAGGTATATGCATTATCTTCCAGAAGTTATGTTATCTTCCCTCAGAGTATCTCTAGATTTTTGCCTGCATAAGCAATTACTAAATACAAATTTTCGATTAGGTGAAATGAATTTCAACATATTCTTATTTTTGAATGATATTTTTAAAAAGTTTTTTAAAAGAAGAGTTCTTATAAATTCAATTAAATTGATGTTTTCTAAGGAAGTAAGATGCTATGGTATGTCTTACTGGTATTTATAGGATATACCTTTTAATTATATAGGATATCAATAATAAGTGATCAGTTGCTATTTTTCTAAGTTACCCTTGTAAAATATGCCATAAGAGGTAGATTCCTAATGTCCACATTTAAAGAACTTGCTCCTTCTGCTAGTGGTGTTGAATGTGCCTGAACAGACTCTTGGTCATAAAAGTGGAACATTTTTTTAGTAGATTCTGAATAGCAGTTCTATTTCTTTAATAACTGAAAAAAATGGGAGCATAGGATTTTGGTTTGGAATCTGTTTTGCCCTCGAATCAGAAAGTACTTGTATAATTTATCCTCAGTATATGAAGTTAAACGATACTTGATTTTAGGTAGTAATTTATCAGTATAATTTTCTGTAGGGATATTTTGGGCAGAAATAGAAAGGGTCTTGAATAATCTGAAGTTATTGAAATTTTTTTCTTTGTAGAAAATTACGAAAAACTGTAAATGGTGATGGGAGCCGAGAAAATGGAAACAACTCCTCTGATAAAGTCAGAGGAATAGAAACTTTGGAATCTGTACCTGTTATTGGTGGTTTTTGGGAGACTATCTTTGGCAACAGGTGGGAGTCTTTTTTACTTGATTTTGTATTCACATAGTGTTTACAAAGTATATAGTATCATCAGACCATAGGAGTAAGTAGCGTAGACTTGTTATGGTGTGATTTTTAGGGGTTATCAGAGGGTTTGCTTGCTGAAAATGCGGTCTTCACTGTTATGTTACCTATGAATGCAGTAATCTATCATTAAAGTATCATTCCGGGTTTTTTTTTTTTTTTTTTTTTTTTTTTGAGAGTGAAGTGGCATGATCTTGGCTCACTGCAACCTCTGCCTTTCAGGTTCAAGCGATTCTCCTGCCTCAGTCTCTTGAGTAGCTGGGATTACAGGCGCTTGCCACCACACCTGGCTAATTTTTGTATTTTTACTAGAGACAGTGTTTCACCATGTTGCCCAGGCTGACCTCAAATTCCTGACCTCAAGCCTCAGGTGTGAGCCACCACACCTGGCCTGATTTCCTTTCTTTTGGTTAATATACCCAGCAGCGGGAATGCTGGATCATATGGTAGTTCTATTTTTGTTTATTTGAGGAACCTCCAAGCTGGTCTTCATAGTGGTTGTACTACTTTACATTCTCACCAGCAGTGTACAAGGGTTCCCTTTTCTCCATATCGTTTCCAGCATTTATTATTGCCTGTCTTTTGGATAAAAGCCAATTTAACTGGGGTGAGAGATCTCATTGTGGTTTTAATTTGCATTTCCGTGATCAATGATGTGAACACCTTTTCATACACCTGTTTGCCATTTGTATGTCTTCTTCTGATTTGATGTCTATTCAGATCTTTTGCCCATTTAAAAATCAGATTATTAGATTATTTTGTATAGAGTTGTTTGAGCTCCTTATATATTCTGGTTATTAATCCTTTGTCAGGTGGATAATTTGCACTTACTTTCTCTCATTCTGTGAGTTGCTTTTCACTTGGTTGATTGTTTCCTTTGCTACATAGAAGCTTTCTAACTTGATGTGATATCATTTGTCCATTTTGCTTTGGTTGCCTGTGCTCATGGAGTGTTATTTAAGAAATCTTTGCCCAGACCAATGTTTGGAGGGTTTCCCTAATGTTTCCTTTTAGTAGTTTCATAGTTTGGGGTCCTAGATTTAGATCTTTAATTCACTTTTATTCAATATTGTATATGGTGAGAGATAAGGATCTAGTTTCATTCTTCTACATGTGGCTGTTCAGTTTTTCCAGCGCTGTCTATTGAAGAAACTATCCTTTCTCCAATGTATGTTCTTGGCATCTTTGTCAAAACTGAGTTCACTGTCGGTCGGGTGCGGTGGCTCATGCCTATAATCCCAGCACTTTGGGAGGCTGAGATCTTTTGAGGTCAGGAGTTCCAGACCAGCCTGGCCAACATGGTGAAACCTTGTCTGTACTAAAAATACAAGAATTAGCTGGGTGTAGCGGTGGGTACCTGTAATCCCAGCTACTCGGAAGGTGGAAGCAGGAGAATCGCTTGAACCTGGGAGGCAGAGGTTGTAGTGAGCCAAGATCTCACCACTGTACTCCAGCCTGAGTGACAGAGTGTGACCCTGTCTCCAAAAAAAAAAAAAAAGGGTTTGCTGTAGATGTATGGATTTATTTCTGGGTTCTCAATTCTGTTCCATTAGCCTATGTGTTTTTATGCCAATGCTGTGCTTCTTTGGTTACTATCATGCTGTAGTATAATTTGAAGTCAAGTAATGTGATTCCTTCAGTTTGTTATTTTTACTCAGAATAGCTTTGGCTATTTTGGGTCTTTTTTTATTCCGTATCAATTTTAAGATTGTTTTTTCTATTTCTGTGAAGAATGTCATCGGTGTTTTTATAGGGATTGCATTGCATCTGAAGATTGCTTTGGTTAATATGGATAATTTTAACAATATTGATTTTTCCATTTCATAAATTATCTTTCCATATTTTTTGCATTCTCTTCAATTTCTTACATCAATGTTTTATAGTTTTTATTATAGAGATCTTTCACTTCTTTGGTTAATTGCTAGGTGTTTAATGTTATTGGTAGCTATTAGAAATGGTATCATTTTCTTGATTTCTTTTTTAGATTGTTTGCTGTTGGCATATAGAAATGCTACTGATTTTTTATGTTGATTTTGTATCCTGCAACATTAATGAATTTGTTTATCAGTTCTAATACTTTTTTGGCAAAATCTTTAGGTTTTTCCAAATATAAAATTTTATCTGTAAACAAAGGTAATTTGAATTCTTCTTTTCCAATTTGTATGCCTTTTATTTCTGTCTCTTGTCTAATTGCTCTAGCTAGGATTTCTAGTACTATATTAAATAATAGTGATGAAAGTGGGCATCCTTGTCATTTTCCAGATCTTAGAGGAAAGGCTTTTATTTTTTTCTCATTCAGTATGATACCAGCTGTGGGTCTGTCATATATGACTTTTATTCTATAGAGGTATGTTTCTTCTACCCTGATTTTTGAGAATTATTATCATGAAGAGATACTGAATTTTACCAAGTACTTTTCAGCATCAATTGAAAGGATTATATGATTTTTGTCCTTCATTCTGTTGGTATGATGTGTCACATGATTGATTTGTATGTATGTTGAACTATCCTTGCATCCCTGGTATAACCCTACTTGGTCATGATGAAGGATCCTTTTATTTATTTATTTTATATTTATTATTATTATTTGAGACAGCGCTTCATTTTGTTGCCCAGGCTTGAGTGCAGTGGCATGATCTTGGCTCATTCCAACCTCTGCCTTCCAGTTCAAACGATTCTTGTATGTGAAGCCCCCAGGTACCTTGGACCACAGGCATGTGCCACCACAACCCTCCCTAATTTTTTGTAGAGGCGCACAGAAGCCAGGAATTGAGATTTGGGAACCTCTGCTTAGATTTCAGAGGATGTATGGAAATACTTGCATGTCCAGGCAGAAGTTTGCTGCCAGGGCAGGGCATTCATGGAGAACCTTTGCCAGGGCAGTGTGGAAGGGAAATGTGGTATTGATACCCCCACACAGATTCCCCACTGGGGGACACTGCCTAGTGGAACTGTGAGAAGAGTGGCCACTGTCCTCAAGACTCCAGAATGGTAGACCCACCAATAGCTTGCCCTGTGCGCCTGGAAAAGCTGCAGACACTCAACGCCAGCCCGTGAAAGCAGTCAGGAAGGATGCTGTACTCTCCGGGTGATACTTGATATCATGTTAATTTCTTGGAATGTTTTAAGACTTGTTTTGTGGTTATAATATAGTATATCCCTGAGAATGATTCTTGTGCTGAGGAGAAGAATGTGTATTCTATAGCTGATAGATGAAATGTTCAGTAAGTGTCTGTCAGGTCTATTTGGTTTGTAGTGTTGATTAAGTCCAATGTTTCTTTGTTGATTTTTCTATTTGGATGATCTGTCTAATGCTGAAAATGAGGTTGAAGTTTCCAGCTATTATTGTATTGGAGTCTATCTCTCTCTTTATCTCTAATAATATTTGCCTTATGTTTCTGGGTGCTCCAGTGTTGTGTGCATATATATTTACAATTGTTATATCCTCTTGCTGAATTGACCCCCTTATCATTATATAATGACCTTCATTAACTCTTTTTATAGTTGAAATCTATTTTGTCTGATGCAAGTATAGCTACTTGATATAGTTTGGCTGTGTTCCCACCCAAATCTCAACTTGAATTGTATCTCCCAAAATTCTCATGTTGCAGGAGGGAGCCAGGGGGAAGTAATTGAATCATGAGGGCCGGTCTCTCCTGGGCTAGTCTCGGGATAGTGAATAAGTCTCACAAGATCTGATGGGTTTATCAGGAGTTTCCGCTTTTGCTTCTTCCTTATTTTCTCTTGCCGCCATCATGTAAGAAGTGCCTTTTGCCTCCTGCCGTGATTCTGAAGCCTCCCCAGCCATGTGGAGCTGTAAGTCCGATTAAACCTCTTTTTCTTCTCAGTCTCAGGTATGTCTTTATCAGCAGCATGAAAACCAACTAATACAGTAAATCGGTACCGGTAGAGTGGGGCATTATTGAAAAGATACCTGAAAATGTGGAAGCAACTTTGGAACTGGGTAACAGGCAGAAGTTGGAAGAGTTTGGAGGGCTCAGAAGAAGACAGGAAAATGTGGGAAAGTTTGGAACCTCCTAGAGAGTTGTTGAATGGCTTTGACAAAAATGCTGATACTGTTATGAATATGAACAATAAGGTCTAGGCTGAGGTGGTAACAGATGGAGATGAGGAACTTGTTGGGAACTGAAGCAAAGGTAACTCTTGTTATGTTTTCGCAAAGAGACTGGTGGCATTTTGCCCTGCCTTAGAGATTTGTGGAACTTTGAACTTAAGAGAGATGATTTAGGGTATCTGGTGGTAAAAAATTTCTAAGCAGCAAAGCATTCAAGAGGTGACTTGGGTGCTGTTAAAGGCATTCAATTTTATAAGGAAAGCAGAGCATAAAAGTTTGGAAAATTTGCAGCCTGACTATGCAATAGAAAAGAAAAACTCATTTTTTAGGGAGAAGGTCAAGCTGGCTGCAGAAATTTGCATAAGTAGCAAGGAGCCTAATGTTAATCCCCAAGACAATGGGGAAAATGTTTCCAGGCCATGTCAGACACCTTCACAAAAGCTCCTCCCATCACAGGCCTGAAGGCCCAGGAGGAAAAAGGGGTTTTGTGGGTCAGACCCAAGATCCTTATGCTATGTGAAGCCTAGGGACTTGGTGCCCTGTGTCCCAGCTGCTCCAGCCATGGCTGAAAGGGGCCAGTGTACAGCTCAGGTTGTGACCTCCGAAGATGGAAGCCCCAAACCTTGGCAGCTTCCACATGGTGTTGAGACTGCAGGTACACAGAAGTCAAGAACTGAGGCTTGGGAACTGCTGCCTAGATTTCAGAAGACGTATCGAAACACTTGGATGCCCAGGCAATAGTTTGCTACAGGGATGGGGCCCTCATGGAGAACCACTGCAAGGGCAGTACGGAAGGGAAATGTGGGGTTGGAACCCTCACACAGAGTCCCTACTGGGGCACTGCCTACAGGAGCTGTGAGAAGAGGGTCACCATCCTCCAGACTCCATAATGATAGATCCACTGACAGCTTGCACTGTGTGCCTGGAAAAGCTGCAGACACTCAACACCAGCCTATGAAAGCAGTCAGGAGGGAGGCTGTACTCTGCAAAGCCACAAGGGCAGAGCTGCCCAAGATCATGTGTTCCCACCTTTTGCATCAGTGTGACCTGGATGTGAGATCTGGAGTCAAAGGAGATAATCTTGGAGCTTGAAAATTTGACTGCCCCATGGGATTTCAGACTTGCAAGGGCCCTATAACCACTTTGTTTTGGCGAATTTCTCCCATTTTGAACGTCTGTATTTACCCAATACCTGTACCCCATTGTATCTAGGAAGTAACTAGCTTGCTTTTGATTTTACAGGCCCATAGGCGGATGGGACTTGCCTTGTCTCAGATGAGATTTTGGACTGTGAACTTTTGGGTTAATGTTGAAATGAGTTAAGACTTTGCGGGAGCATTGGGAAGGCATGTTTGGTTTTGAAATGTGAGGACATGAGATTTGGAGGGGCAAGGGACAGAATGATATGGTTTGGCTGTGTCCCCACCCAAATCTCAACTTGATTGTATCTCCCAGAATTCCCAAGGGTTGTGGGAGGAGCTCAGGGGGAGGTAATTTGAGTCATGAGGGCTGGTCTTTCCCATGCTATTCTTGTGATAGTAAGTCTTACGAGATCTGATGGGTTTATCAGGGGTTTCCGCTTTTGCTTCTTCCTCATTTTCTGTTGCCGCCACCATGTAAGAAGTGCCTTTCACCTCCTGCCATGATTCTGAGGCCTCCCCAGCCATGTGGAACTGTAAGTCCAATTAAATCTCTTTTTTTCCCCCCATTCTTGGGTATGTCTTCAGCAGCAGCATGAAAATGAACTAATACACTACTCCTGCTAATTTTTAGTTTCTATTAGCATGGAATATCTTTTTCCATTCCCTTATTTTCAGCCTATGTGTATCTTTATAGGTAAAGTTTGTTTCTTGTAGGCAATAGATCATGGATTTTTTTTTTTTAATTCATTAAGCCATTCTGTGTCTTTCGATTAGAAAGTTTAGTTCATTTACATTCCATGCCATTATTGATAAGTAAGGACTTACGCCTCCCACTTTGTTAGTTGTTTTCTGGTTCATTTGTGATCTTCTCTTCCTTCTTTCCCTCCTGTCTTCCTCTTAGTGAAGGTGATTTTCTCTAGTGGTATTTTTAAATTAATTTCTTTTTATTTCTTGTGTATCTGTTATTATTTTTTAATTTGGGATTACATTGAGGCTTGCAAATAATATTTTATAATCTATTATTTTAAACTGATAACACTGATTGCATAAACAAGCAAACTCATAAACGAGCAAAGAGAGAAGTGATAAAAACTACACTTTCACTGTCCCCTTGCTTTTAAACTTTTTGTTTGTATTTATCTTATTGTACTGTCTATGTCTTGAAATGTTGTATTTTTTTAATTGGTTCATGTTTTAGTCTTTCTATTGAAGATATGAGTAGTTTACATACCACAATTACAAAGTTATAATATTCTGTCTTTTTTTGTGTATTGACTATTACCAATGAGTTTTGTACCTTCAGATGATTGCTTATTGCTCATTAATGTCCTTTCAGTTTAAAGAACTTTCTTTTGCATTTCTGTAGGCAGGTCTTTTGTTGATGAAATCCTTCAGCTTTTGTTTTTTCTGGGGATGTTTTTATTTTTCCTTCTTGTTTGAAGTTTATTTTTGCTGAATATACTATTCTATGATAAAAAAGTTTTTCCTTTAGCAGTTTAAATATGTCAATCTGGCTGGACTTAGTGGCTCATGCCTGTAATCCCAGCATTTTGGGAAGCCAAGATAGGAGCACTGCTTGAGCCCAGGAGTTCAAGACCAACCTGGGCTACATTAGGGAGATGCAGTCTCTGCAAAAATAAAAATAAAAAATTAGCTTGGTGTGGTGGCATGTGCCTGTGGTTTCAGTTATGCTGGAGGTTGAGACAAGAGGATCACTTGAGCCTAGGAGGTGGAGGCAGTAATGAGCTGTGATTGTGATAGTGAACTTCAGCCTAGGCAACTGAGATCCCTTTCTCAAAAAAAAAAAAAAAAGTAAAAATAAATAAGTAAATAAACATGTCATACCACTCTCCTAGCCTGTGAAGTCTGCTGCTAGACATATTGAAGCATCTTTGTATGCCATTTGTTTCTTTTCTGTTACTGCTTTTAGTATCCTTTCTTTATCCTTTATCTTTGAGGGTTTGATTGTTAAATACCTTGAGGTATTTTTCTTTTGGTTAAATCTGTTTGGTATTGTATGACGTTCTTGTACTTGAATATTGGTATCTTACTCTAGGTTTGGGAAGTTTTTTGTTATTATCCTTTTGAATAAACTTTATACTCCTATCTCTCTCTCTACCTCCTCTTTAAGGTCAATAACTCTTAGATTTGCTGTTTTGAGGCTATTTTCCAGATCTTTTAGGTGAGTTTCATTTTTTTGTTGTTGTTCTTTTTTCTTTTGTCTCCTCTGTGTATTTTTAGTTCTTTCTTCTGCTTGATCAATTCTGCTGGTAAGAGACTCTGATGCATTCTTCAGTATGTCAGTTGCATTTTCAGCTCCAGAATTTTTTTCCTTTTTTTTTTTTTTTAGTTTTTTTACTTTTTGTTAAATTTATCTTTTTTTTTTTTTTTTTTTTTTTTTTTTTTTTTTTGAGACAAGGTTTCACTCTCATCTTTCAGGTTGAAGTGCAATGGTGCAATCTTGGTTCACTGCAACTTCCACCTCCCAGGCTCAAGTGATCCTCCAGGCACATGCCAGTGCACCCAGCTAATTTTTATATTTTTTATAGAGATGAGGTTTTGCCATGTTGCCCAGGCTGGTTTCGAACTTCTTAGCTCAAGTGATCCACCTGCTTCTTGGCCTCCCAAAGTACTGAGATTATAGGCATGAGCCATTGTGCCTGGCCAAAAATAGCTATTTTGAATTTTCTGTCTCTAAGGTTGTATATTTCTGTCTCTCTGGAATTGGTCACTGGTGTCTTATTAGTTCGTTTGGTGAGATCATGTTTTGTTCGATGGTCCTGATGCTTGTGGATGCTCATTAGTGTTTGTGCATTGAATGACTAGATGTTTATTGTAGACTTCATGGTCTGGGCTTCTTTGTACCTGTCCTTGGGAAGGCTTTCTAAGTATTTGAGGGGAATTGGGTGTTGTGCTCTAAGTTTTTCGTCACTGCAGCTGTATCTGCATTAGGGGGTACCCTAAGCCTAGTAATGTCGTGGCTCCAGCAGACTTGTAGAGGTTCTGCCTTGGTGGTCTTGGGTCAGATCTGGAAGAATTCTCTGGATTACCAGGCAGAGACTCTTGTTCTTTTCCCTAACTTTCTCCCAAACAAGTGGAGTCTCTCTCTGTGCTAAGCTGCTTGGAGCTAGGAGCGGTGACACAGCACCTCTGTGGCCATTAATACTGGGACTGGGTTGGGACAGGCCTGAAGCCTGCCCAGCACTCGATTTTGCCCAAGGTCCACATGGCGACCACTTGCCTGTCTACCACCTATGTTTACACAAAGCCCAAGGGCACTACAAACCCAGCCAGGCTTACGTCCTTCCTTTCAGGGCAGCAAGTTACCCCCTGGCTCTGGGCAGATCTGGAGATGCTGTCTGGCAGCCAGGGCCTGACGTCGAGAACCTTAGGAATCTACCTGTTGCTCTATTGTATGGTAGCTGAGCTGGCACCAAGGCAAAAGACAAACTCCTTCCCACTCTTCTCTCCCCTTCCTCAAGCAGAGGAATCTCTCCTGTGGCCACTGCTGCTCAAGGCCTGCAGCAAGTACTGCGTGGCTATTGCTGATATTCACTCAAGTCCAAGGGCTCTTTGATCAGCTTGTGGTCAATACTGATAGGCCTGGGTATCTCCCTTCAGGGCAGTGGGCTTCCTTGTGGCCCAGGGTGGGTCCAGAAGTACCATCCAGGAGGCAGGGCCTAGAATGAGGGACCTTAAGAGCACACTTGGTGCTCTACCCCACTGTGGTTGAGCTGATACCCTGGTCCCCTTTACTCTTCCCTATCTTTACCTCAAGCAGAAGGAGTCTCTCCCTGTAGCTACCACAGCTGAGAATATATTGAGTCACTCCTGAGGCCAGCATGGCCCTGAGTTTCACCCAAGGCCCACAGTGAGTACTGCCTGGATACCACTATTGACTATACAGAGCCCAGGGCCTCTTTGGTCAGCAGGTGATGAATGCTGCCTTCAACCGTGCTGGTTCCATTTTGGTCCAAGGTGTGTCTGCAAATGTCATCCAGAAGCTAGGGCCTAGAATGGGGGCCTCAGGATTCTGGTCCCTTGTTCTACTCTGGCTGAGCTGGTATCCAAATTGCAAGAGGAGTATCCTTTTTACTCCTCTCTCTTCCTGGGCTATGAGCAACAGTGCCTAGCTTTGCAGTAGGGGTGGCACAAGCACTCCCTGGCCACTCCAGCTGGTATCTCAATAGGTCATGTGCACCGTAAGTCTACTGGCCTAGTGGAGTGGCAGTAACAGACAACATAAGGTAGGCGTTGCATTGTATTTGAGAAGATGTGAAGAGGACTGTGAACCTACTTTTGTGCAACACTGAAAAGTGTATGCTTCCTTTCAGTTAACTGACATGAGTCTTTGAAGAATAGACTCACATTCTGAGTCTGAGTGAATATTCTGTCATTTGATACCCTTACTTAGCAAGCTGAAGTCTTGAAAAATATGATTCCTGAATTTTCTTGATTTCTAGAATAATATAGTGTGTTCCTCAGAAGAAAGTGGTGTCTTGAAAGGTGTTACTTTCAGAAACTAATCTTTTTCCTTTTTTAAAAATAGGATTAAAAGAGTAAAATTAATATCTAACAAAGGGACTGAAACTGACAATGACCCAAGTTGTGTACCTCCTATCAAGAAGAGACAATGTCGACCAGAGATTAGAATGTGGCAAACAAGAGAGAAAGCAAAGTTTTCAGATGGAGAAAAGTGCCGTAGGGTAAGATTTAGATGGATTTAACAAAACTTTTTTTCCCCTTGTAACATTTTCCTATTAAGACTCTGCTAGAAGTATAAAATAGATACTAATAGGTTTGTAAATTTGTCCTAACAAGTAAGTAAAACCACAGGATATGACAAGAAAATATCACATGAAAACTGGAGCTTAGTCTTAAAATATCTATTACTAGACTTACTAGTTTTGTGAGTTATCCAGCCTTAGCAGTAGGCTGGTAGATTTAATAAACAGATTAGTGAAGAGGGTGCTGTCATATTCCAGAGAAGCACTGATAGTATAGTAAGGGTTTGGGAAATATTTTGTGGGTTTAGGTAGAGATGGTCTGCTCTATGTCTATAACTATACACTTTTACTTTACAGTCTTAAACTGTTTTATTTGTTAGATTATGGCATTTAGTCTAATATTTATTGAGCCATTACTATAACCAGGCATTGTTTTAAGTACATTACATATACTAACTTATCCTTTTTTTCTTTTTTCAACACACCTGTGAAATAGATGCTTTTATTATCATTATTTTTCAGATGAGGAGACTCAGATACAGGCAGATTTAGTCAATTGCTCAAGGTTATGTATCTAGTAAGTAGAAGAGCTGTGATTCAGGCTTAGAGTTTGACTTGACTCTTGGTTTTTGAATACTACATAACAGCGCCTCATCATTTAGGATATTTAGTTTCAAGTTAATACTTTTCTTAATTGAGATTAATATATGGATTTGTTCAGCTTTGGGTTAGTTTACTTTTACTGCTTGGTGGTTTTCGTATTTTTTTTTGTTATCACACATGTAGCTTACTAGAATATTTTGGGTTGTGCCCTGTGAAGGTGTTGTTGTTCTCTTTGTAGGAGGCTTTTAGGCATTTGGGTAATGGGGTATCTGATGACCTGTCAAGTGAGGAAGATGGTGAAGCACGGACACAGATGATATTATTGCGTAGGAGTGTGGAAGGGGCCTCAAGTGACAATGGTTGTGAAGTTAAGAATAGAAAATCAATACTTTCAAGGCACCTAAACTCTCAGGTAATTTCTGTTTTAGTTTATGAAATTATAGGACTAAATCACTGAATTTAGTAACAAAGCATTTAACATAGTTTCCTATAGCTTGTTGGTTTGATTTTTGGCAGGTAAAGAAAACCACTACAAGGTGGTGTCATATTGTGCGGGATTCAGATAGTCTGGCAGAATCAGAATTTGAATCAGCAGCCTTCAGCCAGGTAAAGTGTCCCTTTGAGAAATCAAGGTATATTTTTGAGTGTAATAACTTTATCCATTCCTTTTTTTATTAGTTGGCCTAAAGTAGCATTTACATTAATATTTGCCTGCCCTCCTTTGTCTCCAATTATCCATGTCCTTATCTAGCAGCTTTTAATGACTACACACCTAGAAAGAGAAATAATTTTTTTCCACATTGACTCTAAGCTTAAGAGTATCACAGATGGGCTGGGCATGGTAGCTCACGCCTGTAATCACAGCGCTTTGAGAGGTTGAGGTGGGTGGCTCGCTTGAGACCAGGAGTTCAAGACCAGCCAGGGAAACAAAATGAGATCCCATCTTTACAAAAAAAAAAAAAAAAAAAAATAGCTGAGTGTAATGGCCTGAAGCTGTAGTGCCAGCTACTCAGGAGACTGATGCAGGAGGATCACCTGAGCCCAAGAGCACGTAGCCTAAGTCCAAGAGGTTGCAGTGGGCCATGATCGTGCCTCTGCACTCCAGCCTGGGTGACAGGGTGTGACCCGGTATCAAAAAATAAAAAAGCATTATTGTTATGCAAAGCCCTGTGAACAAATGAATTTATGGTGATTGACTTATGAAGGCTTGACTTATGACGGCTTTCAAGCCATTGCTGTAGATAACTTGTTTTATTTCACATAGTTATTTTTAAAGATGAATAACATTTTTTGCTTTTTGTTTTCCTTTAAAGTGCTCTAGATCTGGTGTGAGTGGTGGCTCTCGAAGCCTCAACATGTCAAGAAGAGACTCAGAAAGCACCCGCCATGACTCGGAAACTGAAGATATGTTATGGGATGACCTGTTACATGGCCCAGAGTGCCGGTCATCTGTCACCAGTGACAGTGAGGGGGCCCATATGAATACCCTTCACTCAGGGACCAAACGTGACCCCAAAGAGGATGTTTTTCAGCAGGTCTGTGCAGGCAAGATAAGAATAGCTAGTATTTATTGTGTTTTTACTGTGTATCAGACACTGTGTTATCTCATTTAACTTTACAATAATCCTTTAGGGTAGAAACTATTATTATCCTCAGTTTAGATGTGAGGAGATTGTGCAGAGCCTGTAAGTGAAGGTGTTGGAACTAGAACTCAGGGAGAAATAATCTAGAGTTGCCATAACCTAAATTTTTCTTTACATTACTTTTTCAAATTATTTTTCTTAGAATGGTCCTTAATGTTTGTTCATATTTTGTATGAGTAGACTTTGCATATAGAAAATATAATATACCCTATATTTTCATGAACATCACAGTATTACATATTAATTACTAGAAATTGGCATTGCCTGCTTTTTCAATAATACATAAATAATGCTTTTAATTTCAGGTTTTATATTAATATCATAAAATCAGATAGCCATTAGAAGGTATTTCAACCTTCCAACCAAGGTAGAGATTCATTCTACATCTGTGTAAATTTTTACCATCTGTCATTTAGTGATAATAGTTCCTACTTCTTAGGAATAGTGTGAAATAGCTAATGAGATAATACAAAGGACATAGCATAATACCTGGCAAGAGTAAGTATCCAATAAATGTAAGCATTATTATCAATATCTCCATCAGATGATCAGTTGGCCTCTTCTTAAATACTTCTGGAGCTGGAGTGCTTGTTATTTAATGATACAGCTTATTCCACTTCTGGATAGATTGAATGATGAAGAAATAATTCTCCCATCAATCATTGCTTAATATCAATGATTGTTATGGTTCTTAGGTTTTTGTTCTTTAGGCTAAATATTTCCACATTGGCTTGCAAATTGTGGATGATGGATATACATTTGTTTATCGAATTCTCTTGATTCAAAGTTACCATTGATTTAGGTTATACATTTTCATTTAAAAAATCCATTCATTAAATGTATATAATTTTTAAAAAATGAACTAGAAACAATGTAAATTTTCTCATTAAAGTTTCATTTGTTTGTTTTTTGAGACAGAGCTCACTCTGTTGCCCAGGCTGGCATACAGTGGTACAATCATGACTCACTGCAGCCTTAACCTCCCCAGCTCAAGCGATCCTCCCACCTCAGCCTCTTGATTAGCCACCATGCTTGGCTAATTTTTAAATTTTCTGTAGAGACAAGGTTGCACTGTGTTGCTTAGGCTGGTCTTGAACTCCTGGGTTCAAGCAGTCCTCCAATTCAGCCTCCCAAAGTATTGGGATTACAGGGGTGAGCCACCGTGCTTGGCTCTCATTAAAATTTTATGCTACTTTTTTGATTTTGCAGTGAGTTTAAATATTTTTTACATTCAGTTTGAAGAGTCATCTGAATTACATTAGCTTTCAGTAGTTATGCATAGCATCATGATAATCTTGATCTCCTTAGCACTCCCCTCCTTTGAGATTTGCAGTATTATTTTAAGACATATATAAGAATAATTCAGTGTGGTAAACTTACTGTGTGAAATTCAATAAATCATTTTCCAATCCTGTTCACCTAGCCTGTTCTTCTTTTATTTCCTGTATTTCTTTTCTTTTTTTTTTTTTTTTGAGACAGAGTCTCGCTCTGTTGCCGGGTGCCAGTCTGGAGTGCAGTGGCGCAATCTCAACTAACTGCAACCTCGGCCTCCCAGGTTCAAGCAATTATCCTGCTTCAGTCTCCTGAGTAGCTGGGACTACAGGCACGCGCCACCACGCCCAGCTAATTTTTGTATTTTTTAGTAGAGACACAGGATTCTACCATGTTGGCCAGGATGATCTCGGATCTCTTGATCTCATGATCCACCTGCCGTAGCCTCCCCAAGTGCTGGGATTACAGGCGTGAGCCACCACGCCTGGACCTCCTGTATATCACACTAACCACCCAAGTAAAAAAGTTTCATTCTTGACCTCATTCTTTTTTTTTTTTTTTTTTTTTTTTGAGATGGCGTCTCGCTCTGTCACCCAGGCTGGAGTACAGTGGCACAATCTCAGCTCACTGCAGCCTCTGCCTCCTGGGTGCAAGCAATCCTCCTGCGTCAGCCTCCCAAGTAGCTAGGACTACAGGTGCCTGCCATCACACCCAGCTAATTTTTGTATTTTTAGGAGAGATGTGGTTGCACCGTGTTTGCCATGCTGGCCTGACCTCAAATGATCCGCCTGCCTTGGCCTCCCTGGGACTACAGGCATGAGCTGCTGTGCCTGACCAGCCTCATTCTCCCCACCCTTAATTACTTGTGTTCTCTTGATTGAGCTGTCTGAATACCTGCATCTCTCTGTTTGTGGTCACCCTGCTTGGTGCAGGCCGTCATCTTTTTTTTTTTTTTTTTTAAATCGCCCTGCCCAGGCGTAGTTCACCATCTTTCGGGTCCTAACACGTGTGCTCGTGCAGTGCAGGTCATCATCTTAACTGGATCATTACAACAGCTTCTGTAGGCTTGCCTCTCTTTCTTTCGTTTTCCTCGCTACAGCCATAGTGATGCTTCTAAAATACAAATTTGATAATGCCGCCTTTTAAAAAGTCCTTTTTTCTTCCTTCTGGATTGCTTGCTTCTTTTATTTATTCTAATACAGTCTCATTCTGTCCATTCTCTCCCTGCTCCTCCCATGGTTAACTTCAACTCCACTAACTTCCTTCTTTTCTGATATGTACCAGGCCTCATACGCTTCTGGGTCCTTGTGCATACAGGTTTCTTTCCTGGGACATGATTTTCTCTAATGCCCATTCTTTTGGTTTATTCATTTTTATTTTCAGGCAGGTCTTGGCTTGAGTGATGCTTCCTTTAGAAAGCATTTCCTATATACTCCTAAAGCACTCTTGCCTTTCCTTACCATGCTGTATAGTGACTTCCTTCAGAAGTTTGTAAGCTCCTTGATAGCAAGGACATCTATCTTGTTCTCCATTTTATCCACAGGCATGCTACATAGTAGGTGCTTAATAAATGTGAGTTGTATAAGTCAGTGAATCAATGAAGCACATCAGTGATTCAAATCAGTAAATGCTTGTCGGCATTATGCTAAGCATTGTGGTAGAAAGAGAAAAAATATGCCAGATGGTCCTTTTCTAAAGGTTATATTTTAGTTTGGGAACAAGATAATTATATAGGAAATAAGTAGAGGATGCCATAAAAGCACCATATAATAAGATGCTAATTTGTCTGATGCAGACCATAAAAGTTTTTCTTTTCAGATAAGGGCAAAGTTAGTAAGGCTGTCAGAGAGGACCATGATGGTGAAATGGGACTTGAGCTAGTACTTACAGAATAAGTCATGATATGGCAGAGGAGGAGAGGGAGCTGTTTTTCATTGTGACTGTCCCCACTTGAGCTTTTCTAAGCCTTGCTAAATTTCTGTGTCCTGGTTAGACCAGAAACAGACTTAATAGTCCTCAGTCATTCTTGTGATAAATAAGGCCTTTTAGTATCTCTCTTTCTTTACTTCCTGTTACTCCCAGTGTAGTCCCCTAGCTCTAGAAATACTTTCTTCCAGCCGGGCGTGGTGGCTCACACATGTAATCCCAGCACTTTGGGAGGCTGAGGTGGGCGGATCACCTGAGGTCAGGAGTTCGAGACCAGCCTGACCAATATGGTGAAACCCCATCTTTAAAAAAATATATATTAAAAAAAAAAAAAAGAGCTGCTTTCTTCCTTAATAGCCCATGACTACACTAAGCTTATCCTCACTTCCATACTTTTAGAGAGGGAAGCAACCTTGGAGTTCATGGACTCCTATCTCTCCTCATAACAGAAGACATTTATTCTCTCTCCAGGTAAGAGAATGGCTAAGTAAAGAAAAAAGGACCTAGTTGGCCATGGTGGTATGTGACTATGGTCCTTGCTACACAGGAGGCTGAGATGGAAGGATTGCTTGAACCCAGGAGTTTGGGACCAGCCTGGGCAACATAGTGAGACCCTGTCTCAAAAAAGAAAAAAGGACCAGCATCATAGAAGCGGTTATTGGAGTGGTGGCATATGGAGCCTGGGAATCTACATTTTTTTACATTTTGGATATTTGATAATTTTTCTAACTTTTCAAAATGGGAATACAAGTAATTTTGAAGTCCTTTCAAACTGTTAAGATAAAGGGAAAGAAAAACTAATGGAGGAAAGAAAGCTTGGATAGAAACAGTTTTATATTTTTCTTCTCAGAACCATTTATTCTGGCTTCAGAATTCAAGTCCTGCCTCAGATCGAGTTAGTGCAATAATCTGGGAAGGCAATGAGTGCAAAAAAATGGATATGTCTGTATTGGAAATAAGTGGCATCATCATGAGCAGGGTAAGATTAAATTTGTTTTCAGATTTTTCAAAACATGATCAGGAGCTATTTCATAAGAATCTCTTAGTGATTAAAACAGTATGACTCTGCTTTTGAAGCATATGTATATCATATCATATATATAGTATATATTATTAACATATATCTAATTTTGTAGTCAGAGTCTTTACATGGTAGCATATGTATTATTTGTTATATCTGGTCTCTATTAATTAGTGTAATAACTATTCAGGTATTCTTTACAGATACTCCTTATCTCATTGAATAAAAATTTTTAATAAGATTTAAAAGTCATAAATCTGTATGTTATTTGTATTTATGCTTTTAGAATGTGTTTTTAATAGTCTAAATAGTATTTGATAAATACTGCTTTTTTTGTTGTTTTTTGAGACGGAGTCTTGTACTGTCACCAGGCTGGAGTATGCAGTGGTGCAATATCAGCTCACTGCAACCTCTGCCTCTTCGGTTCAAGTGATTCTCCTGCCTCAGCCTCCCGAATAGCTAGAACTACAGGCGTGCACCACCATGTCCAGCTAATTTTTGTAATTTTAGTAGAGATGGAGTTTCACCATATTGGCCAGGCTGGTCTCGAACTCCTGACTTAGTGATTTGCCCACCTCGACCTCCCAAAGTGCTGGGATTACAGGCATGAGCAACCGCACCTGGCCTGATAAATATTGCTTTGTAACTCCATTTAGCTACACAATAATGATGGAAATTTTAATTCACAGGTCAATGCATATCAGCAAGGAGTAGGTTATCAGATGCTGGGAAATGTTGTCACTATTGGATTAGCATTTTTTCCATTCTTACATCGACTTTTCCGTGAGAAGAACCTTGACCAACTGAAGTCCATTTCAGCTGAGGAGATCTTGACTCTCTTTTGTGGGGCACCACCTGTTATACCTATTATTGTTTTGTCCATAATTAATTTTTTTGAAAGATTGTGTCTTACTTGGATGTTTTTTTTCATGATGTGTGTGGCAGAGAGAACATATAAACAGGTCAGTGGAGAAATAAGTAAAATTTTTTACCTCTGTTTTTGTATATGATATTCCGTTGAGTTGTTTTTGGTCTCTTGATTTGGTCTCTCTTCAAGTTGATGTAGGCAATAAAGGATTGATAAGTGAATTTTTGATATTTGTGGATTTATTGTTTGTGTTACTATTTACAAATTACACATTATAATCTGAAATTCTGCTGGGCCTCATGTGTAGAATAAGTGGCTTAGCCAGTAAATGAACCTAGCTGACTGCTTAGCATCTGTACTTCAGTGTGCCTTTTTAATTTTTTATCCGTAGAATAAAATAATTCTCTACATGTGATAATGTTTTTGTGAAAAATGGCCAGTAAGAAATAAATTTATTGAAATTTGATAAGAATTGTAAGTGGAGGGCTTAGAATACTGGTGATATGCAGAAGTGTGACTTTTTTTTTTTTGAGACAGGGTTTTGCTCTGTTGTCCGGGTTGGAGTGCAGTGGTGTGATCACGGCTCACTCCAGCTTTGACCTCTTCTGAGGACCAAGCAGTCCTCCTAGCTCAGCCTCCCCAGTAGCTGGGACTACAGGCCTGGGCCACCACATGCGGCTAATTTTTTTTGTTTTCATAGAGGTGAGGTCTTTGTTGTCCAGGCTGGTCTCGAACTCCAAGGCTCAGGCGATCATCCATCTTTGCCTCCCAAAGTGCTGGGATTACAGGGCATGAGCCACTGTGTTGAGCCCTAGAAATGTGATTTTTGAATGGAAATTTAATTTGAGAATAAGCCAGAATCATGTATAAACATTTGAGTTTGTGAAGTAGTGGATCCACAAACTCCAGCCATTCTTTGGGGGTTTCCAAAGAATATTGCTCGCAAATTTTGAGTGTACCATATTGTGAAGAAGTCTATTTCTATGTAATGTGCTTTGAAAACAAGAGGGTAATGAGCTGTTAATGAAAATTTTCACTGTCCATCTTAGTGATCACTGATTAGAACTTCATTCTTTTTAACATTTTTATATTCTGGGAATATTGTTGTCAATTATATGAATACACAGACACATACATACATTTCACTGTGATTATTTTTTTAAACCTCTTCTAGAGATTTTTATTTGCAAAACTCTTCAGCCATATTACTTCTGCCAGGAAAGCTCGGAAATATGAAATACCTCATTTCAGACTTAAGAAGGTGGAGAATATTAAAATATGGTTATCACTGCGTTCCTATCTAAAGGTGAGTTTAATTTGATTAACAATAGAGTATATGCAAGAATATGCTCACTAAAGCTCCTGGCAGCAGTTACTTAGTAGATAGTGTAGTTCTGGGTATCAGGCAGATTATATCAGCAGCTGACAGATTTGCTGCACAGTAAGTTGGATGTCATCTTTCTGCAAAGCTGGGAGGGGTAGGTAAAGAAGAGCTTAGAAAGGTAAAAGAAAATCTAAATTTCCTAGGGGCAAAGTGATAATTAAATGGTAGACATTGTTCTGACTTTTTGGGAAATACTCCAACTGAAAGTATGTCAATGAATCAGTCTCCCTTACTTTGGAAATGCATGGATTTCAGTACCTAAAGTTGATGACGTCCAAAATATGTTAAAATCCTGTCTTAAAAACTTCTTATAAACGTTATTTCTACACGAATATAGTATAATTCAGTGTTAATGATGTGAGGGCCATTGCTGTCTGCCAGTAATCTAAAACATTAACACGTGTCTCACTCCACAGAGACGGGGGCCACAGCGCTCAGTTGATGTGGTTGTATCTTCAGTCTTCCTGCTGACACTTTCAATTGCTTTCATTTGTTGTGCTCAGGTAAAAGTTTCATATCTGCTTTAAGGAAAAATGAAAACTCTATTATAGGGTTCACTTTCTGTTGTAGACTAGGTCTTTAAGTGTGTATTTTTAATGCGTCTACATTTTTTACTATTTTGGATATTTGGTAATTTTTCTAACTTTTCAAAATGGGAATACTAGTAATTTTGAAGCCCTTTCAAACTGTAAGATCACTCTAACTTTAGTTGGTAATTTTTTTTTTTTTTTTTTTTTGAGACGGAGTTCTGCACTGTTGCCCAGGCTGGAGTGCGGTGGCATGATCTCGGCTCACTGCAACTTCCGCCTCCTGGGCTCAAGTGAGTCTCCTGCCTCAGCCTCCCGAGCAACTGGGATTACAGGCACCCGCCACCACGCCTGGCTAATTTTTGTATTTTTAGTAGAGATGGAGTTTCACCATGTTGGCCAGGCTAGTCTCAAACTCCTGACCTTGTGATTCATCCACCTTGGCCTCCCAAAGTGCTGGGACTACATGATTGCAAAATACTGACTTTCTAACTACATTATTTTTTCTGTATTTATTAATTGTCACTCCAAGGTAGACCTTTCATTTCTTTCCCTTTCATTCATTCATTCACTTATTTATTATACTGTGGAATCATGTATTCTCATTTTTATCCAGTGGGTTAAAATCTATTACTATAGGCTGGGCATAGTAACTTAACACCTGTAATCCCAGCACTTTGGGAGGCTGATGTGGGAGGATTGTGTGAGGCCAGGGGTTCAAGACCAACCTGGGCAACATAATGAGGACCCCTCTCTTAAAAAAAAAAAAATTCTTACTATATTTGCTTTGATGCCTACATTGTCCAAAATTTGGCCAGTGGGAGTCCCTTGAAGACCCCTCTTGTATCCTTTTGACAGGGTCTCCTTTTTGTAAAGTGCTTCTGTGCTTCCTGCATTAAAAGAAGTTACAGATTTATCTTATACTTTCACATTTATTGAATTTTAACATAATTTTGTGGTCAAAACATACTCTGAATATTTTCAGTCCTTTTAAATATGTAGAGGCTTACTTTATCCAGCATATATTCAGTTTTGTTAAATTTTCCATTAGCACATTGAAAATATTTGTATTCTGTCATTGTTAAGAGCAGTGGCCTATATGTATCATATTTTCTATATTCTTACTGAATTTTTTGGTCTGCTTATTCTGTCAGCCATTGGTAGAGGTGTGTTCAAGTCTGATTGTGGATTTGTCTGTTTCCTTTTATTTCTGTCGATTTTTGCTTTATATATCTTGAAGCTGTGTGACTGGGTGCATCCAGATTTAGTATTGTTATCCATCCTTTTGGGGAAGTGACTTTTATGTCCTTTATAGTGATTTCTTTTTTCTGAATCCAGGATCCAATTCAGAATTATGTATTGCATTTAATTACCATGTCTCTTTAGTCTCCTTTAATCTGGAAATATGTCAGGCTTTGTCTTTCTTGACCCTATAAAATGTGTCTACTTTTAATGTTTCTTCTTGATTTGATGTTAATTTCATTGCACCAGCTGTCTTTTGATTCATTTTTACATGTTATGTCTTTGTCTACCTGCTTTTATTCTTTTGTTCTCATATTTTAGGTGTGCCTCTTATTATCAGCATGTTGTTTTATGGTTGCTTGGTGATCTTTCTCTTTCTCTTTTTTTCACTGGGAGTACAAGCACATGCCACCTAGCCTGACTAATTTTTTAATTTTTTGTAGGAGCAGGGGCTGGCTTTGTTGCCCAGGCTGGCCTTGAACTCCTGGCTTCAAGGGATCTTCCTGCTTTGGCCTCCAAGAATGCTGGGATTACAGGCATGAGACACTGTGCCCAGTTGGTTGCTTGTTTTTTAATCCATCCTCACAGTCTCAGTATTCTGGAGTGTCTGGCCCATTTAAACTTAATGTTATTACTAACCACAAATGTATTTGGCTCTTACATTTTCTACCTGCTAATTATCCTTTTTCACTCCTCTTGTCATCTTTTTATTAACCAAATGTTTTTAAATATTCCATTTAATCCTATTAACTTGTTATATATTCTTTTATTATTGTTTAAGTAGTAAAGAGATTACAACATGCATGCTTAATTTTTTATAGTCTGATAAAATGATTAATTTATCATTCTCTTGATAATGCTAGGCCTTTAGAACAGTTTATCCCATTTACCTCTTCACCTTTTGTATTACTGTCCTTCACCTTAATTTTACATCAATTTTAAAATTATAAGATGTAATTAGTATTGTTTTATGTAATCATTTATATTTGCTCACATATTTACTTTCTCCATTGCTTTTTATTATTTCCTGAATTTCTGTGTTTCTCTCTGGGATTATTTTCCTCCTACCTGAGTAACTCCTTTAGTATTTATTTTAGTACCAGTCTGATGGTGATGAATTCCCTCAGTTTTTGCCTGTTTGAAAATATATTTTATCACTTTCACTTTTGAATTTGTGTGTGTGTGTGTGTGTGTGTGTGTGTGTGTGTGTGTGTATTTATTTGTTTATATTTAACCAGGAATCAAATTCCAGGTTGCCAGTTACTTCCTTTCAGCTCTTTTAGGATTCTATTTCTTTTTTTCTTTCTTTTTTTTTTTTTGAGACGGAGTTTCACTCATGTTACCCAGGCTGGAGTGCAATGGCGCGATCTCGGCTCACAGCAACCTCCGCCTCCTGGGTTCAGGCAATTCTCCTGCCTCAGCCTCCTGAGTAGCTCGGATTACAGGCACGCACCACCATGTCCAGCTAATTTTTTGTATTTTTGGTAGAGACGGGGTTTCACCATATTGACCAGGATGGTCTCGATCTCTTGACCTCGTGATCCATCCGCCTCGGCCTCCCAAAGTGCTGGGATTACAGGCTTGAGCCACCGCGCCCGGCCTAGGATTCTATTGCTTTCTGAAATCCACATTTTATTTTGAAGTCTGCTGCTAGGCTGCCCTGGCAAGCCAAAGCTAATATGAGTCAAACTCAGTGGGGAAGCAGAAAACAAAGGTCTTGTAAGGCAATGGAGCTGGCTAAGATGGAAATCTAAATAGCCCTAGGGAAGCCAGATGGAGAGGGCAGCTGCTGGGTGACTTCCTGTTTTTTACAAGGTTTCTGTGAGCATTATCTGTATGTTTTTCGGTAAATTCCATCTTACCTTGTGCTTGTTTTGAGTAAATTTCTTTACTTTTAAATAAAAAAATTTAAGAACAAAACCTTTTACCACAAAATTTGACACATAATAGGCACTCAATAAATGGTAGTTGCTGCTGCTATTATTTGGAGCCTAAAACAGAATAAAGAACTGATCCTTAGGATTTTCTAGTCATCCAGTTGGATGGGTCACATATTTTAGGGAGCTCATTTGACGTAATGCAAAGTTATTACTTTGAATAATGGTTGTCATACAGTTGTGAGTGGACATAATGTTAGTTAAAGTGGCTGCAAATGCATTTGTCTTATTTTATGTGTGGTATTTTCCTCCTTTGTTACTTCTAGACTCTTGCTAAAAGAGAAAATTTAGAAAACTTAGAGAAATATATAATGATCAAATAAATAGGCAATACTTTATGAGTATTAAAGCTCTTCTGCTTTGAGTATTAAAATATTGGATATTTGGAAATGTTCTTAAATTGACAGAGTAAAAGAGTAATTATATGATTTTAAGGTAAATGAAAAACTTAACTTTTTTTTTTAATCCTTTATATAGGTTCTCCAAGGACATAAAACTTTCCTGAATGATGCTTATAACTGGGAGTTTTTGATCTGGGAAACAGCTTTACTACTTTTCTTATTGCGTCTGGCCTCATTGGGGTCTGAAACCAATAAGAAATACAGCAATGTTTCAATATTACTTACAGAACAGGTATTGATCAGTCCTGTCAATTGGGTTTAGTGGTTAGGGGTAGCATAATGCACTGCAAGGTTCCTGCAGAGGATTCAGGGTTTAATCACTGTCTAGCTATCACTTTCTAGCTACATGACCTCACAAGTCACTTTGCTGCTCTGTAGTTGTTTATCCCTAATAAAATGGATGTAGTATCTCCACCTGCTCCCAGGATTGTGAGAATTAAGATCTAATGGATTGAAAAGACTTTGTATACTGTAGAGAGGTTTGTTGTTGTTTTTTTTGAGATGCAGTCTTGCTCTGTCACCAGGCTGGAGTTCAGTGGGTCAATCTGGGCTCACTGCAATCTCCACCTCCCAGGTTCAAGCCATTCTCCTGCCTGAGCCTCCCAAGTAGCTGGGATTACAGGTGTGCACCACCACACCCAGCTAATTTTTGTATTTTTAGTAGAGATGGGGTTTCACCATGTTGGCCAGGATGGTCTTGATCTCTTGAGCTTGTGATCCACCCACCTCAGCCTCCCAAAGTGCTGGGATTACAGGCGTGAGCCCCCATGCCCAACTTATAGAGAGATTGTTATTGGTGGTAATGGAACATGCTTTTAATCTCATATTCTATGTCATGTATTAGATCTTCAGAGTACTTGTCATTTAGCATGTATAATAAGCTTCTTGAATTCTGTATCAGATATAGAGCACATTATTCAGTGTTTGGAAAATACTTGGTTTTCAATATGTGAATAGATGCTAAGATTGAGAAATATGTAAATACTGAGTCGTATAAAGTGTTTTTTAAATTTTGTTTTTAATTTCAAGTTTATCCATAAGTTTTGAATAAAAACACTCATCATTTTTTTGTCTTAGAATCATAGTGAAGAATTCTTCCTACAAGGAAAAATGTAAGGAATTAGTAAAGTAAAAGGAGCTATTTTCTTCCATTCATAAATGTTTAATGAGGATGTTAGATTATCTAGGGGATAGTGAGATGAATAAGATATAGGTTTTGAAGTCAAGGTGCTTATGTGCTAATTATGTTATAGTGCAAGTAATATTAAAATTTTTCATTGTTTTGATATTTAAATTGCTTGATCATTTATTATTTTTTCTTCACTAAGTGGTTTTTCTTTGCCAGAGGGAGACTGATCAGGGATGGGGGCTAGAGTATGTGAAATATATTCTCTGGAGCAATAGCTACTAGAATTTCAAAATTTATTTTACTTGAAAACATAATCTTTGAAATATGCCAGATTTTATGCAGTATGTGTATAATATATATGTATATGTGTATATATATATTTTTGTAAGAAATTTACCTTAATTTCTATTCCTTCCTTAGATTAATTTATATCTTAAGATGGAAAAAAAGCCAAATAAGAAAGAACAGCTTACTCTAGTAAACAATGTATTAAAGCTCTCTACCAAGTTGTTGAAAGTAAGTCATAGCCCGTCATACACTTTTACTATCATTTAAATCAGCCTCTTCTCTGACCAAACATTAAATGTTGATGATACCTTAGGTTGGGAGGGTCCTGGAAGTGGACTGTTCCACAGTGGCATCAGGGATAGGGGCCACAGTGGTGGTTAGGACCAGGGCTGAGGTCCAGAGCTCCTGGAAGTTAAGGACAAGGATGGCTCCTCATCACCAAGTTGGCCCATCTCGTCAAAGACATGAAGATCAATTTCCTGGAGATCTGCCTTTTCTCTCCGTGCATCAAGGACCAGGTTCAAGGCTTTTGTCACCATTGAGGACTACAGTGGCTATGTTGGTCTGGTTGTTAGTGCTCCAAGGAGGTAGCCAGCACCATCCATGGGCAATAATCATAGTCAAGCTCTTTATCCTTCCCTGTGTGAGGAGGCTACCGGGGGAGCAAGATTGGCATGCCCTACACTCACACTACCCTTGTAAGGTGACTGGTAGGCTGCATCTCTGTGCTGGTGGCCTCATCCCTGCCTCCAGAGGCATTGGTATCATCTTGGCCCCTGTGCCCAAGAAGCTGCTGCTGATGGTGGGTACCCACCACTGCTGCACTTTGGGGGCTATGCTGCCACCCTGGCCAATTTTGCCAAGGGCATCTTTGATGCCATCTCTAAGACCTAGAGCTGTTTCACCCCCAGCCTCTGGAAAGAGACATGTTCACCAAGTCTCCCTATCAGGAATTCACTGACTATGGCCTAAAGACCCATACCAGAGTACCAGAGTCTCCACGTAGAGGACCCAGGCTCTAGCTGTGGTCACCACATGGTGGGGTTTTTTTTTTTTTTTTTGGGAGACGGAGTCTAGCTTTATCACCAGGCTGGAGTGCAGTGGTGCGATCTCAGCTTACTGCAACCTCCACCTCCGGGGTCAAAGCAATTCTCTTGCCTCAGCCTCCCAAATAGCTGGGATTACAGGTTCGTGCCACCCCACCCAGGTAATTTTTGTATTTTTAGTGGAGACAGAGTTTCACTGTGTTGGCCAGGCTGGTCTTGAACTGACCTCGTGATCTGCCTGCCTCAGCCTCCCAAAGTGCTGAGATTACAAGCGTGAGCCACCACGCCTGGCCCATGTAGCGATTTTATGCCAGAAAAGTAAAGTGAGTTAGCCTGTTTTAAATACATTAATTAATGTTTTACTTCTCAGAACCCAGTTAGAGATAGATGCTAGGCTGTATAGATTCAAAATGCTGACCTGATGGTTTTGGGTTAATAACTACGTATGAAAAAATTTCCAATTTTGTTATCCAGGTTCTGATGATTACTGAGGTCTGTCACATTTTGTGTGTGTGTGTGTGTGTGTGTGTGTGTGTGTGTGTGTGTGTGTGTTTGTTTTTAACCACAAATGACATTGCTCAAATTTACCTAAAAAAGCTAGGTGGAAAAGTAGGTGAAAACACATTATGGCTTTTTTTGAAGGTAGCTCTTTAAATATTAAGGAAAGACAGCCTTAACCATTCATCTTTACCCAAGATAAAACACAGCAAGAAGTCATTGAATAGCTATGAGAAAACATGCATCTCATTTCAATTCTTTGATGTTTTTTGTAGGAGCTGGACACACCATTTAGACTCTATGGACTGACAATGAATCCCTTAATCTACAATATCACAAGAGTAGTTATCCTTTCTGCTGTCTCAGGTGTTATAAGTGATCTTCTAGGATTTAATATAAGAGTAAGTATCCCCACCACTCTGTAGCATCTTAGTCTTAAAAATTACTGTGTACAGAAATCTGTGTTCTTCATATACACACGTGTGTGTGTGTTTCTAGCAGGGAAATGACTCTTGAGGTAAAGAAATAGGCATTTTGATTGGTGGTCCACAGGCTTTTCAGCTTTGGTTTTCTCATTTTATACAAGTATAACAGACAGTGCTCTTGAATGGAACAAAAAAATCAAATTTGAATTTTGTATCAGTTTAATAGTCTGAGCTGGGTAAGGGTCTTATTCTGATCCTGGGAAATGTACAGAGGTAGAATGAATGAAAACCAATACATGAAGTGCATTGTATTATTTTTGATCCTGGAAGCTTTAAATGTTTTTTCTCTATGATGTTCTATGGTTGCTATTGCTAGACTTGATACGTTTTCTTCTTTTATAAGGGAATCTTGGTTTATAGTCACATAAGTGTACCTGTAAATCCCATGTGGTTTTCCTAGAACTAACTTATTTTGGTGATTTTCTTTTCTTAGCTGTGGAAAATTAAATCATAAGCTGAGTTAAATGCCCGGACTCTCCCCTGGCTGGTATCAATACTTACCCATTAAGGAAAGAGATGACTGCAGAAACCAGTGAGATACCCACCTGCTTGTTCACATGCACAGGTGCTCTCAGCTCTGCCAATGAATGGTGTTTCCAGAGGAACAAGGCCTTTGCCAACTGGGTGTGCATGCTAAAAACCTGTATTTTCATGCTTTTCAAACAGTATGAATAGTCAGCCAACTAAAGACTGTGTGTTATGGTAACACAAGGACAATTTTCTAATTAGGAAATTTATTCTGGGCACTTCAGTACTGTGACAGTTATATTTACAGGACATAGTCTTTTGGGCAACTATCGTAGAAGCCCAAAGCATGAAGCAAATATCTTTTATTGGAAATTTGCAAATTCAGTACTTTTTCATTACAGCCTATCGAATTGGAGATTTCATTTCTCTATCAAAGAGAGATCAAGCAAACTATTTTAGGTTAAATCTGAATAAAAGAACTTTACTGGATAATTTTGGTTTCTAGGTTTTCTTTGTTGTTAAAGGGAAAAAATAACTTTTAAACTATAAGTTTCTGTTAAACTGTGGAGAAATTTATTAGTTTATACTTTTGAGTTAATCCTAATAACTGTATAGTTGTTGAACAGTGCATGCATACAATAGGCCATGTAATTGAGCATGAGAAATTTAAGTATGCCTGCTCATCCATTTCCATCATACAACATGGCTTCCATCTTCTATGTGGAAATCATGGAAACCTGGTTTCCGTATAGATCATCTGAGTTGTGGTTCCTAACACAGTGCTATGTGTCCTATCACAAGCATCTCTGATAGTTTATCTGTTGTGCAACTTAATGTATTCAACCCTGAGTACATTTTGAGGTCCTCAGTGTCTATAATCAGCCATGCCATACATACCTCTGATGATATAGGTTCTGCTATGCAGCATCCTGTTATACACATGCATATATATATGTTAATGAAAACTCTAACAGTCAACTTGCAATTCTTGCTCATTAAGTTACCTGCTTTAAAGAACTTTTTTTTTTTTTTTGAGATGGAGTCTTACTCTCACCCAGGCTGGAGTGCAGTGGCACCATCTTGGCTCACTGCAACTCCGCCTCCTGGGTTCAAGTGATTCTCCTGCCTCAACCTCCTGAGTAGCTGGGATTACAGGTGCCCGTCACCATGCCTGGCTAATTTTGAAGAATCTCTTGAGGCAAATTGAAAGCCTGAACATTTTAATAATTAGATTTTGTGAAGTTTTAAATAGAAGTAATTTAGAAACTTGGTTATTACATGTAAAGCATGTACTCATTCAAAATTAGAGTATCAGTTGCACATTTTCTAATAGGCAGAAAGATTTGTGAGGTTTAGAGGTGGATTTCTAGAGTCCAGGGATTGAGATGAGACCTTTCTGGGTTCAAATCCTTGGCCCTGCCACATATTAGCTCTTCACATATCAATTTCCTCAGTTGTTAACCCATTTATGGGGATAGTAACTATAAATGGGGACAATACGTAATAGGGTTGTTAAGATTAAATGAGGTTATCATGTCAGGTGCTTGCACAGTATAAAGTATTTAATACTTAGTAAATCTGTTACTACTATTTAAAGTCCTTCAAAAAAATCTCACTGATAATTCCTATGAAGACAGAAACATAGAAAGCAAGGTTGCTGAACTAGATGCTGATTACCAAACATATGCAGACTTTTATACATGAATTATAATTTTTAAATGGTAAAACTCCATTATAGTGATCTACCTTTTGAAGGAAGTGTGCTGTAGAAGCACTTCAGCATCTCAACAGATGGCTCATAGAAACCATGCTTTTACTATTTCCATAAGGAACAGTAGCAGTGATCTCAAATCCAAAATTGAGCTCACTGCAAATTTCAAATGAAAACTGATGCCTTCATCTTTTTCTTCTACAAAAAGTGCTGTTCTATATTTTACATACATTTACGCAGTGAATTCTTAAATTAAAAGCAGTGTTTAGAGTGTATTATTTGTGTGGATTGCTTCAGTTGTGGTTTTGATGGTGTATATTGGTTTAAATTATTTTTCAGGTGGGTAAAATTATATGTAAGTATAGTTAATCATATCAGAAACTTAGGAATGATTCTTGACTCATTTTTCTTCCTCATACCTCACATCCAGTCAATCACCAAGTCTTTGAATAATTATCTTCTAGATATCTTTCTAATCAGCCCACTCTTCTTCCCCTCTGCCACCACTCTTAAGTCAACATCCTTTGTTTTTTGAACAAGTTTCTGCTGTCTCTGCTCCTATATATGCTTGACTCCTTTCCCCCAAGCCTAATCCATTCATCTCACAAATGTGATATGTCTTTTCTGAAATGAAAGTCTCATCATTTTGAACCCATTAGTGGCATACTAGTACTTTGGAGATAAAAATCCAAAATCCTTTTTAGCAAGGTATATAGGCCTACCTATTGAGAAAGATTTTGAATCTTTACATTAGAAAGATACCTTTACTGGGTATAAAATTCTAGGTTTAAAGATCTGGTTGTGCCATTACCTCCTAGGTTACATTGTTTCTGAAAAGAAATCTACAGTCACTCTAGTCTTTGCTCCTCTGTATGTCAAGTGTCTTTTTTTTTTTTTTTTAAACTCTGGCTACTTTAAAAATTTTTATCTTTGCTATTGAATTTGTGCAATTCAATTATAGTGTATATTGGTATAAATTTTCTCATGTGTTCTGTGCTTGGGGTTTGTTGAACTTACTGGATCTGTGGGTTTATATTCATATTATTTTATATATAGTTTTCTATTTTCACATACAATTGGGAAAAAATTTTGCTATTTCTTAAAATAATTTTTCTGCAGTCTACCCTCATCTACCTCCTTCTGGGACTCAAATTTACATGTATATGAGACTGCTTGAAGTTGTTTCTCAGCTCACTGATGCTCTATACATTTTTCCAGTCTTCTTTTTCTTTGTCTTAAATTTTGGATGGTTTCTTTTGCTGTGCCTTCAAGTTTGCTTTATTTATTTATTTATTTTTTTGCACTAATTTGCTATTAATCCCATTCTATGCATTTTTTTCTTCTCTAGAAGTTTGAGTTTGGTCTTTTTTATATCTTCCATGTCTCTCTTTAACATGAGTATTCTTTTCTCCACCTTAACATATTTATAAAAGGAATAGTATATAAGGATATTAAAACAGTTATTGGGGCCATTTTCCTCCCATCATTTTGGGTCATTTTACTGCTGTTTTGCATTCTTGGTAATTTTTTATTGGTTGTGAATTTTATACTGTTGGTTTTTATGTGTATGTTTGTATTCTTGTTAGTCTTAAATATTCTTAAGAGCTTTGTTTTGTAACACTGTAAAGTTACTTGGAAACAGTCTGATTATTTCAAGGCTTGCTTTTAAGCTTTGTTAGGTGGGCAACAACAGCCTTTAGTTTAGGGCTGCTTTCCTCCATTTACTGAAGCAGTATCCTTCTGAGTACTCTATCTGACGCCCTGTTCATTATCAGGTTTTTTCTTTGTCTGCAGTAATATGAACTATTCCCAGATTTGTGTGAACTTCAGGAATTTTTCTGCCTGCTTCTTGGTGGTACTTTCCCTGTTATTTCTTCGTATCCTTGTGCTGATCAATACTCAGCCAAAGACTTGAAAGGAGCCCTCCCTTCTCTGTGCAGCTGCATTCCCTCTGGTACTCCTACCTAGAATAGCTAGACCCCCAGGCCTTCCCCAGATTTTCAAATCTGTCTCCTCAACTCAGCAAGACTGCTTGGTTCTTTTTAGGTCCTCCCTTCTTGCACCACAGCCTAGAAACTGCCTCTATGTAAAACTGCCTCTAAGTAATAATCTTGGATCAATCATGGGACTCACCTTGTTTAATTCTATCCTGTGCTGCCTAGCGTCTAACATCTAAAATCCATTTTTTCATATTTTTAAAATTGTTTTTCAGTTGTTTGAAAGTTGAAGAGTAAAACAGCTCTTCATTACCTTAACTAATGAGTTTATCCATTTGCTCAGGCTGAAGGCTCCATATCTAATCTACTACCAAGTCATGCCAGTTCCACTTTTCCACAGCTACCAGGTTAAGCCTGCTTCACTCTCACCTGGATGACTGTGTGACCCACTGGTCTGTTTCCATTCTTGCCTCCTACAGTTGGTTTCCCATAGCCACATGCATGAGCTTCAAAATTTGGAAACTAATATTGTTCCTACTTAAACCTTTGCTGGCTTTCTCTGTGGTGACCTCCAAGGCCCTTCATTATCAGGCTTGCCTGGCCTTCCAACTTCATCTCCTTTACGTTACAACCTCACTCCTTTACCACGCCACCACACTGACCTCCTTCTGCTCTTCCATTATTCCAGGTTCTGTCTCATATCAGGCTTGTGCAAGCTTGTTTCATCTGCCTGGAATATATTTTTTTAGGTTCATCTCTGGCTGGCTGCTGCTTCTCTCTCAGCTGTCAGCTGTCAGTTCCTTAGAGGGTCTTCTCTCATGACCTTAATTAGTTACCCATTCCCTCCATTATCACTTATATCTCCTTATTAATTATGGCACTTACCACAATTTTATCATCATTTTTATTTTTTGACTGTCTCTTGTCTCCTTTCCCACTAGAATGTAAGCCCCTTGAAAGCAGGACTTTTTCTTGTTCCCAGAACATAGAACTGTATCTCACCTAAAATAGATGTTCAATAAAAATGTACTGAATGAAGAATAGACCTCAAGTAACTTACCATTCATGCAGTTAGTTATATATTTGATCCTTGAACAATGCAGGGGTTAGGGGCACCATCCTCCTGTCCTGTCGAAAATTCATGTATAACTTTTGATGCTCCAAAAACTTAATAGCTTACAGTTGACTGTGAGTCTTGCCAGTAACACAATTAACACATATTTTGTGTATGTATTATATACTGTATTCTTAAAGTAAGCTAGAAAAAGGACAAATATTATTTAAAAAATCCTGAGAAAGATAAAGCATATTTCCTATTCATTAAATAGAAGTGGATCATCATAAGGTCTTCATCTTTGTCATCTTCACATTGAGTAGAAAGGAGGAAGAGGAAGGGTTGGTCCTGCTGACTTGGGTGGCAGAGGTGGAAGGGGAAGCACAAGAGGCACTTGGTCTAACTTTACAGAAATACATTGTAATTTGTCTGAATTTTTGCTTTTTAATTTCTCTAAAAATGTTTCTATATGGTACCAATCCTTTTTCTGTTTGCTTTAGTTTCAGTGTCCATATCATAGAAGAGTCCATGTTGTAAAAGAAGTCAAAAGCTGCTTTGAATAATTGGAACCCTTCTGCCAGATGTCTTACATCAGGTTGTTCTTTGGCATTGCTTCTAGGTTTTCTTCCTCATCATCTTGCACTGGTTTCGAAGCACTCATCTCCATCAACAAGTCATCTGTTAATTCCTGTGGTGTGGTATTTATTAGCTCTTGAATTTCTCCAAGAGCCATATATTGAAACCCCTCAAACCCCACCTTTTTTTGCCATATTCACAATCTCACGAT